AGCTGTTTTTAAGGCTGCATCTTTTCTTGTGGAAAGAGCCCACTGCTCCACCCAAATGGGATCCTGAGTATCCCATTTTAGCTTAATAGGCTCAGGTAATGACGGGTGGGCAGTGGCCCCTAGAATTCGGGGGGGGGGGGCCTGCGTGGATATAGTCACGTTAACTGCTTGTAAAATGTCTCGTCCCCATAGGGTGTGTGGAACTCCAGTCATAAATAATGGCCGGAAAGTGCCTTTGTTGCCGTCCGGATCCCGCCATTCCCGGTCACGTGCAGCCTGGGTGGTCATTTTAAAACCGCTTACTCCCTGAACTAGCGGGCCGGCTGTGGTCGGCCATTTTGCGCTTCTCCTTTGTTCTTGTATTACTGAAATATCCGCTCCAGTATCTACTAGCCCTTCTATGTCCTGTCCTTCTATTGTTAACTTGAGGAAAGCCTTATTCTGGGTTAGCGGTAGAGCCCAATAGACTCCCTGCCGTTGCTCTCTTACTGGCGGGGCTCAGAGCTGCCACCCTTCTCGTTTAAATGCGGTAGGGCGTTTCCTTCTTTGTCTTTTGCTGATCGGCAGTCCCTTTTCCAGTGAAAGCCTTTACGGCAGCAGGGACATACCGACGGGGGCTTTTTATTGTTCCCCTGTCTTCTTGCTTTATTGGGGCATTCCTTTGCAAAATGTCCTATTCCTTTGCATTCGTAGCAGGCACCTTTTTGGGGCATTGTTTGCCCTGCGATGTTAAGCTGTGCTGCTAGGGCGGTAGCTAGTGCCGCCGCCGAGTGACTGCCTGCATCTCGACAAGCTAATACCCAGTCATCGATAGAACCGGCTTTGACCGGCCCAATGGCTTGTCGGCACTCTGCATTAGCTCCTTCCCATACAAGCTCCCTTGTTAGGGCTTCTACTGCCTCTCTGACCCTGTGTAAAAATTCTGAAAATCCTTCATTTGAGCCTTGTACTAACTTAGACAGCTGCGCTGGCTTGCCCCTAGGATTAATTTGGGCGAAAGCTCTCATCGCACAAAGGCGGACCTGATCGAAGTATTGGGCTGGCCCTTGAGCTTGAGCGGCTGGCGAGGCATACAGTCCCTCTCCCTGGAGGGCGTGTGCCGGAAGGTTAAGCCCTGCTATTCTATTCTGCTCCGCTTGTTCGCATTGCTCGTAATAGAGAGCTTTCCATTGTATCATATCCCCAGGCAGGAGGATAGTACGAGCGAGACTTTTCCAATCATACGGGCAATTTAACTGTATGCTAAAGTTTTCTAACAGTTGCTGAGTATACGGGGCTGAGAGTCCCTCTTCCTGCACTGCTTTTCTAATGGCCAGGAGGGTTTTCTGATCGGGCAGCAGCCAAGCCTGGGGCTGTGCCGCGGTAGGGTTTACATTGACTGGGAATAGTTGAGGCGGCTCTAACCCTAGGGAAGTTCTTGCTTGGTCCCTCTGTTGGCAAAGAGATCGATATAATCCTGTCCACGGGTTATCATCTGTATCCGCTACAAAGGGATTCGTACTGACTTTGCTGGGTTCTCCCTGACTCTGGGTTTTCTCTATAGCGCCTTTGTTTCGCTGAGCTAGCGCTGTTTCGCCCTCTGTCGGCTCTGATGGTTTACTTTCGCTTTCTGCCGATTTCTGCTCTAGTCTTTTCTCAGTAAAGGCGGTCCATGGATCTGCTGGGGCCGTGGGGTTAACATTCACAGGAAAGAGGCCAGGGGTCTCTAGCCCTAGAGATGTCTTTGCCCTATCCCTCTGGCTGCACATGGATTGATATATCCCCGTGCATGGATTATCATCGGTGTCTCCCAGGAAAGGGTGACTTGGGGGCCGCTGGGCAGTTAAACTTTCTGTTCGCTCTGCGAGGGGAGTGGGGGAGTGACTCTGGCAGGAAGCCTCCTGGCGAGACTCCCCTGCTTTCACCTCGCTAGAGGTTTTTGCTGTCTCAGTTTCAGCCGTCCTGGAGCTTTGAGAAACTACCTTTGTCTTGTCAAAAACAGCCCAGGGATCTGCGGGGGCAGAGGGCGCTGGAGGGGAATAGGGAGGCAGAGGGTCTTCTGTTCCCTCGCCCGCACCGCCGGTGGCAGAGAGAGCCTCCGGGATGGGAAGTGCAGGCTCGGGCGGGGCCCCGCTTAGGCAGGCTAAGATGGCTAAAATAGCAGGTTCCAGAGAAAGCGGAAAAGTCTTTCCCTCATGGACCTCTGCTGATCTTATCTTCTGTAATGCTTTCTCCCATGTATTGGGGTCCCAAATGGGGGCTTCTAGCAACCAAGGGTTAAATGCTATTAGGACATCCCAGAGCTTTTGTAGCTCCTTTTCTGTTACTTTTACTCGGCTACTCTATAACAACGCATGAAGCGCGTGAGCCTGATGGGCTCGGGCTGAGGGGGGAAGGTTGCCCATCGTTACACAGGGTCACTCACCTGTCCTGGTGCATGCCATGCTGGAGGCGCCAGATGAAGCAGGGGGTCCCTCGGGGGTGAGGACAACGGAGCCCTAACGAGGCATGCAGGACTCCGGAGACCAGGTTCTGTGACACAGATCTGAGTTTATTGTGTAAGTGCAGCAGTATATATAACATTTTGGACCAATCAGAAGTTTATACAATCCTTAGGGCAGCCAATGGTAGGAAAGATCAGGGTACTGTGTAGTGGCTCTAGGAGGCTTGCTCAGGCGGGCGTTGCCACTTCCTGGTGTGCCCAGGAAGCTTGTACAGGCTGAGTGATTTCAGGCCATTGCATCCGCCACTGCACTGAGATAGATCTCCTGAGCTCTTCCCACAGAGCAGGGGCCCAGGACAGGAAGCACTTACTGGGCTTTTCCCCAAAGGCCTGGGCTGGAAGCCCAGCGTCACCATCCATGGAACCACCAGGGAGGAGGCGTGTTCTCCTGAGAGCTGGGGCTGCATCTGTGATTCTTGGGGGCAGGAGTCCTGCAGCTGGTGGGTGCCGGGTTTGCGTTTCCTCCAGCTCCCACTCCAGCACCCAAAATAGCCGTTCCTGACCAGGCCCTTCATGGACTTCCACCCTCTGCCCTGTGCACAGGTGCAGGCCCAGGCTCATGCAGCCCAGCCCAGGGCCCTGGGGCCACCACAGGGAAGTTCCCGTATCCTTGGAGGGCAATGGGTGAGAACCTGTGCAGCAGGTGTGACCATTCAGTCACACAGGACAATCTCCTCGCACCCGAGAGAGAAGAAATGAGACTTAACTGGCTCCTTCCTGCCTTATTCCTACAGAACAAACTTTGCCCCCTGTATCCTCAGGCCAGGGAAACATGTGGATATTTTGATTTTAGGGAAATGACCATAGAGAAAGGCAGGCCACTCAAAATTGTAAGAATGACTCTGTCTTAGTGTTTGGGCTGCTCTGACAAAAATACCATAAACCGCATGGCTTATAAGCAACAATTTATTTCTCATAGTTCTGCAGGCTGGGAAGTCCAAGATCATGGTGCTGGTAGTTTCAGTGTCTGCTGAGGGCCTGCTTTCTGGCTCATTGACAACCTTCCCTTCACTGGGTCCTCACTTTGTGGAAGGGGCACTAATGCCAGTCAGGAATGCTCCACTCTCATGACCTAAGCACCTCCTGAAGGCCCACCTCCAAACACCATCACATACAGCATATGGTTTCCACATCGGAATTTCGGGGGAGGGGGGACACCAGTATCCAGTCCTCTCAGCACGCTCCTTCTTGGATTGAAGTCTGCGGAGAAGAGGCATTTGAGCTAAACCCTGAGGTTGGCATTCCAAATAAAGAAATGAGGATGTACCCAGATCCCAAGACCACAAAGTGCAAGGAGTGTTTGGGGACGCTCAGGAGATGATCTTAGTGCAGACATAGGTTTCAGCCAATTTTATATTTCAGGATAAAGAATTTGAACTTGATTTCTTAGGCCATAACTTGTCTATAAATATATATATATAGTTTTCACCTGAGGATTTATTTATTTATTTAGAGAGAGAGAGAGAAAGAGACAGACATCTATGTGAGAGAGAAACTTCAATCGATTGCCTCCTGCATGCCCCCTCACCCAGGATCAAACTGCAACCTCGGTATGTGCCCTGATTGGAAATCAAACTCACAACCATTTTTGGTTACAGGAGGACGCTCAACCAATTGAACAATGGGGTCAGAGCCCCATTGATATTTTTAAAAAATATGTATTTCTTTATTGATTTCAGAGAGGAAGGAAGGAGAGAGAGATAGAAACACCAATGATAAGAGAGAATCATCAATCAGCTGCCTCCTGCACACTCCCTACTGGGGATGGAGCCTGCAACCCAGGCATATGCCCTTGGCTGGGATCGAACAAGGGACCCCTCAGTCCGCAGGCTGACGCTGTATCCACTGAGCCAAGCCGGCTAGGGCTCCATTGAAATTTTTAACCTAGAGATCCTATGCAGTGGGAGAGTAGAGCTCGGGAAAGTTTTCTAGTTTCCATCAGTGTGAGATTGTACAGCTAAATCCACGGAGAGGGAGGGCAGGTAAAGCTGGGTTCTCCATCCAGGTCTAGGGGTCACCGGGGGGTGTGTCTGTGAAGCTCAGAAATTGCACGCCATGTGTCTGTGAGGACCTCCATGTCTTTCCTGAACTTTTCACAGGGTCTGGCCCTACAGGGTGAAAGCACCGGCACAGAGGAAATCAGCGCGCCCCTCACCGCCCCAATCCCACGGAGGAGCGAGCAAAACCAGCCTGGATGTGCGGCAGCTCAGGGTGGAGGAAGCTCGGGCTCGTAGTGACAGGACCCGGCGCAGACGGAGAGGCCGGGACGGTCCTGTCACAGCTCAGACTCCAGCTGACCCGGTCCCGCTTCCGGGCTCCACGCTGCGCCGGTGACGGAGGCGGTATCGGCGGGCGGACCCAGCCTCCTCCCCGCGAGGCGAGCAGAGCCGGACCGAGGGCTGCGGCGCCTCCCGCGAGACCCGGTCCTTCCAGGCCCCGCCCCCGGGCCCCGCGCAAAGCAGGACGGGAAACGAAGACGGGTCCCATCGTTTGGTTTTAGAGCGGGAGCCATCGCCCGCGGTCCTCAACTGCCGCTGGCTGTTTCTCGGGAGCGGGGGACGGAGCGGGAGGAAACGCTGCAGCGGCGGCGGAGTCCCCGTGACCGACTCTGCTGTGGCCCCGGGGGCGCAGCCGGGCTCCCGCGCCTCACGCGTCCCGAGTGACTCAGGTGAGGCCGGGCTGGCGGCGCTGCTGGTCGCCGCGTGTCCCTGACCCCGAACCCGACCGCCCCGGGCGGCGTGGCCTGGGGGCTGGGCTCTGGGCGCCCCTTCCCGCGCCGCCCCCCGGCTCCTTCCGAGCTGAATGCGGTGTCCGGGCGGCCGCAGCTCCCGGGCGGGCCCGTCCCGCGGCCGGCGCTGCCTGAGGCCCGGCTCAGCCCGCGGGTCTCGCCGACCCTGAGGCCCCGGAGGCGGCCCTTCCGCCCAGACCCGGCTCCGGTGCCTTCCGTGCCTTCGGGTTCCCCCCGCCTCGCGGTGCCCCTGGCAGGTCCTTGTTCCCAGGAGGCGAGGCCGCGGTCTCCATGCGAGCGCATCAGTTCAATGCGGTGCTGTTACAGGGGCCCCGGGAAGCGCACACACAAGGTGGGGCCGCAAAAGATCTAAATATACTAATCAGCACAAAGTGGTCATTGTTCTGTGCAGGCGATTCTTTAATCACTGATTCTGTGGCTTCCTCTCAGAGTGTTAATATGTTGTTTATCCCGTTGACTAGATATAGGAAGGCCGGCTGGATTTTGTGGGGTTTTTGTGTGTAAGTTTTACAAGGCACTATCTCAGTCATGGCCCAAGTTTAAGTGTTCTCAAAACTGACTTATCAGAAGGAGGAAAAAAGTGTCATGAATGTGACATAACCGTTCTCTCAGGAATAACTTAATTCACAGCAAAAATAACCACAACTCAGGAGCTGCATGGGAACCACAGGCTCTGAGATATTTCAGCCAAGAAAGCTGCTGGTACCAAAAAGACCTCAGAGGAGAAACGAAGTCAAATTAAACTGTTTGTGTTGTAAATGCTGTTTCAAACACTGTTTTTAAAGGTTATCTAGTGCTGACATGAATGCTTGTTTTGATCTCTGTACTTGAGGATTGCAGCTTAACCGCTGTGCCACAAAACCCATTTTCATGTGGCCGTTGTCTCCGAGACAACTGGCGTCCACCTTATATGCCACCTTATATGGTGTCCGAACTTGACAGGCTGTCAGTTACTGTTGGTAGAAATGTTCTGGAAGTAGTGGAGGGGTGTGTGTGCGCGCATGTGCATGCATGTGCATGTTTTCACCCACAGCTCATCCACTTCTTTGTAGCAAGAAGCTGAATAAATTATGTTAATTCAAAGCTAGAATTGTTAAATTTGCAAACAAGCCTGACTGATCCATCGCGAGACTTATTTTATTCATGCCTTGGTCTTTTGGGTTTGGACCAGAAATTGGCATTGATTGCAATTCTATGCATAAAATGAATTGGGGCTCAAAATTACTGATCACCTTTGGTAGTTTCCTAAAGCAGTAAGTACTTCAACTTTTGATGAATTAAAAGTAATATGTTGTTTTTGTTTGTTTCATTTCAATATGCAGTGATCTGTTAGGTGTGCTTTTCAAATGAGGTGTCAGCATCTGAACAGAAATGCCCTTAAATGTTTAGAGCCTTTTACTATAAAGTAAAACCTGTCTAAATACTTAAAATGTGAAATGTGGAGATATTAGTGTGTAGTAGTAGGAAAGGTAGGATAGTTATTGTGGGACATAAGTGCTTGTCTCAACCAAATAGATTCCTACCTGTCATTGATTCACTTGCAACTAAAATGTAGCTGTAATGTTAATTATGTAATGACTAGAGGTCCGATGCATGAAATTCATGCAAGGGGCTCGGCCCTCCCAGCCCCGGCCTGCCCTTGCATCCCCGGCTTCATCTGGAAAGTCGTTCGGCTGTTCGTTCTAATTAACATATTAGCTGTTTATTATATAGGATAGTGTAAGGTAAGTATAAAATGATAACTGTAATTACCTGAAAGAATCAGATCTGGAATGCCCTTTGATGTTATGATTACTTGTACACCTACAATGTGTGACACTCATCTAAGGATTAATGGCTCTTCTGTAAACTTTTATGATAATTTTCTTCTGGCTTTGACTCCCAACAGCTGACCAGAATGTGTTTGAATTCATACAGAAATAATGTTGATATCTGAAACCCATGTCGAACTTCTATGAAGAAAGGGCAACAATGATTGCAGCTGGGGATTTGCAGGAATTTGTTCCTTTCGGTCGAGACCACTGCAAACACCACCCTAATGCTTTGAACCTTCAGCTTCGGCAGCTGCAGCCAGCCTCTGAGCTGTGGTCGTCTGATGGTGCTGCTGGCTTGGTGGGATCCCTGCAGGAGGTTACACTCCACGAAAAACAGAAGGTTTTATTAAGATTCTCAGTTTGTTTTTGAAATGTAGAGAGATGCAATCTACTTATAATTTAAGGCTATCCAGATGCAACTGAGAAATGAGTATGATGCTACTTTGAGGGCACAGGTTAAGATTTGGTAATTTTAATCAAAGCTAAAAATAACAACCTTATTGTATTATAGTGTCATGGCTGTGTATTTAGACATATAACTCATGGATTTATAATGACAGTCACTATGATTATGGTCCATTTAAAATCTCTTTCTTCACTTAGTATGTGGGGATCAGATTTCATGGTCCCCACATGGTTATTTGATGGTTAGATAGTAGAGTTAGCAATGGTCCCTGCTGCCAAAAACTTACATGTTTCTAGAGGAGAAAAGAAAGGCCACATAGATTTAGTACTAGTTTTTAAATAGGGGAATGAGAAGTAAGTGCATGTTAAATATTCAGTCTTTCTCATCTTATTCCAGCATTTCAGGGTGGAGAAGTCTGTAGTTAGAAATCTAAACCTTTCTCTGCCCTGTTCATTTTGACGGTTGGCACAAGGGCAGGAAGGTGAATGTATATGCAGTTGTGAAGCAGGGAAATCTGCATGGTGGGTAAGCTCCCCCAGTGTCCCGTGTGCACTTCACTGCCCCCTCTGCTTCACACTCCTATGCTTAATATGTCTTTAGTCTCCTAAGAATGTTGATTTAATTTTGGGATATATAGGAAAGGTCTAATTTTTGTTTGTTTATGGCAGCATAATATGGTAATATAATATAAAACACTTAATATGGAGAATTCTTGAGTATGGTCTCATTTATGAAATCAACCTAAGAGTTGGACTGTACTGAATCTTACTCCACAGGCAAAGAGAGAGTAGGATACTTGTATCTGGATTGCTGTTCAATTTTAATTAATTAATCTTGCTCCATAATGTTGAAAAAGAAATAAAAACTGCTTAAACATGTCTTACCTATGTAAATTTTTAAGGAAAGCTGGCAGCTAAGGAGAGGCGGAAGTGAAATTGGAGAAGTGGATTATGACGAGGAACTCTATGTGGCTGGAAATATGGTGATCTGGAGCAAAGGAAGTAAAAGCCAGGCATTGGCTGTTTACAAGGCCTTTACAGTTGATAGTCCTGTTCAACAGGTGAGTTGACTTGAATTTTAGTATTTGATTGACTATTGCATATTTTTTTAAAAAATAAAGCTCTTGCCTTAATATTTAACAGAAATGATAAAACAGAGTATAAAGATCCCAGTAGCTGTGTTTATGTTTTAACATGTGAAGATAATGGTAGGGAAGTAAACATTTCCTTTATTTTTCTCTATCAGTTTTTTACACCATTCTTTTTCAATTTAATGGTAATGTTTAAACATTTGAGTAATTAAATCAATTATTGTCAAAATTTATAGGACTAAGGGTACAAGAATATATTAACATATGATTATATTTGATTGTAGAATGTTGAATAAATAAAAATCAGATTCATGGTAGTACTCAAGAGTAAGGGAAAGGAAAACAAATCTAATTTGTTATCATTGCACTTAGCCATTACACCTAATTTTGTCCTAAAAATTAGTAATTAAAGGGACAGAATTAAGCATTTGCCCTGCCTTTTTAGGAGCTTTGTGGTTCATCTCTAGTTAATGAAGGAAATCCTTATTTAAAGAAGAATACCAGCTAATAAATATAGAAGGAATTGCAGAATTTAAAAATCACCATTCTGTACTCTCCAGTGTAACCTCTGATTCAGATAAAGATTGTAAATAGATAGTAATGCCATTGTGTGAAAGGTATTTAGGTGTCACCCAAAGTGAAGAAACAAATGCATCTCTACTTTGAAGCTGCATGTTGTTCTCCACCTCCACAACCTGGTGGGTTTACCATCACTAATAGGGGACAGAGGACTCTTTTATACCTACAGCTGTAATGTGGCATGGAGACATGATGTCATCTACTTAGTTTTCTTCCCCAGAATATTTGACATGAATATGTAGACCTACCTTCCAGTTATAGGAAGTATGGGGGCTAGAGGATCAGTTTGTAAAATGAGATGAGGAATGGGTGGAGGTATGGATGAAACAAGAATAGCCAGAGTTGAGAATTATGGAAGCTGGCTGATGGGGATGCATCACATTACTCTTTTTATTTTGTATACTAGAGGCCCGGTGCACAAAAATTTGTGCACTGGTGTGTGGGGGGGGGAGGTCCCTCAGACAAGCCTGCCCCCTATCACATACTGGCAGCCCTCAGGGATGTCCTACTGATGGCTTAGGCCGCTCCCTACTCCCCTTGGGGAGCGGGCCTATGCCACAGTCTGGCCTCCCTTTGTGGGAGGCGACTGGACTGATCAGGGGAAGGCACCAGCCCCATCACCCCGCTGCTACAGCCACTGCCAGTCACTGCAGCCACCAAGGTGTTTTCATCAACACGGACTCCAGTCCCTTCACCATGGAAAAATGACAACTTTCTTTTGGCATTTTCAAGATGTGTCTTTCATAGGATATGACATTTCTTTCTTCTTCCTTTTTTTTTTTTTTAATTATCACCTGAGGATATGTTTCCATTGATGAGAATGTGGAAGAGAAAGGGAAAGACAGAGAGAAACATCAAAGTGAGAGGAACACTTTGATTGGTTGCCTCCCTGCATGAGCCCTGACCTGGGCCCGGGCTCCGCCCCTGCTCCTCGCCATTGCCGGCTCCATCCCTGCTCCCCACCATCTCTGGCTCTGCCCCTGCCCAGGACTAATACGTGTGGCTGAGTAGTTAGGCCTGGGCAGGGGACCCCCAGCTCCCCACGATGGCCCACTCTGCCCCTGCACCCCGTGATCGCTGGCTCCACTTCGCCCCTGCCCAGGCCTAAGGCCTCTGGCCAAGGCGTTAGGCCTGGGCAGAGGACCTCCTGCTCCCCGTGATTACCATCTTTGCCCCTGCCCAGGCCTAACCATTATGAGATACTTTGCTTTGAATAGGCAAATTCATAAAAACAGCAAGCAAGTAGAATGTTAGCTGGGGGAGGGAGGAATGGGGAGTTATTGTTGAATTGGCAGTTTCTGTTTGGGATAATGGAAAAGTTTTGGAAATGGATAGTAATGAGGTTGTACAACTTTGTGACTGTACTTGATGCTACTGAATTTGTATACCTCAAAATGGTTAAAATGGTAAATTTTATGTTATATATATTTTACCACAATTGAAAAAAATCCATAAAATGCCATTAAGTAATTTCAGTAAGTGATTGTCAGGCATGCCAGTGAAAGTTGAATGGCATTTCCTAGTTTATATTTTGTAAGGTAAAAGGGAAAGGTTAGTTTTTCCAAAGATTTTTCTGAAGTGACTCTAGGAATGTCTAAGAATGTTAAGATTGTTAAGTAAATCTGTAGATTATAAAATAGTTCTTCTGATAATCTTTAGTTTTATATAGGACATAGGGTCTAAGACAGGTTAAGCTGCTGTTTGAGGTCACTTTTGTGGCAAGGCTTCTATCTAGTAGATTTTTTAAATTTTTGTCTTCCCTTTCCTTTTCATAAAATTTATTTGCACACCTGGTTTATCTTCCCTTGTAATATTTATCATTAATTAGTCTAATTTTATTTTATCTTTTTTTTTGTTCCCATGGTGCCTGTGTTGAGCTGATGAGACGGTTGTTATGTAAATGTCATAATTATTATGTAGATACCATTTGTTAACAGATTGCTGTTTAGATACAATTTTCTTAGGTGAGCATTTTGTTTTAATTTTAGGCATTGTGGTGTGACTTCATTATATCACAGGATAAGTCTGAAAAAGCCTACAGTAAGTTACTTGAAATTTTATTGCACTTTTTGATTCCAAAGGTATACCTCATTGTTTTTTTCTTCAAAATAAGTAGTCACTAATAATAGTGGTTTTGCTTAAGTATTTTTATCTTGCTCATTAAAGAATTTGTATTATTGGGAATTGTAATGTTGATGGGAATTTTTTGGGGGGAAAAAAGCATACATGTTGTTATATCCTTTTTTTGCAGGTAGCGCTGAAGTAGAAAAATGTATATGTATATTGCAAAGCTCATGTATCAACATGCATAGCATAGAAGGAAAGGATTACATAGCTTCTTTACCTTTTCAGGTAAACTTGAGTGTTTCCATGCTGTTTTGTTTGGTTGGAGAATACTTTTTAGTTAATTGGTTTCAGAAGTATTACTACTTTTATATCTTATAGTTATCAAGGATGTTATTTTTACTCAAAATAACTAAGCAGCTTTAGTTGCTTACTATTTTCCCATTCTTTGCATAAAAAGTAATTTAGTGGAATGAATATGAAGTCTTTTCTGAGTTTTTTTTTTCAATTGAAGTGATATACAGGAAATAATTTTGATTATAGTAAGCACATGATAGTATTAGTCTTTTCCCTGTTTCTCTTCATCACATTAAAGTTTTATCACATTGTAACTTTGCTACTGATATTTGCAGCCCTTGGCAGAAAATTTGGGTTGAATATTTCCTTACAGTAGACTTGATCTTGTCTTACACTTGCTTATTAGAATTACTTCTTAAAAAATATTATAGTTAATAATCATGTTATTTACTTATTTTTTAAATATATTTTTATTATTGATTTCAGAGAGAAAGGGAGAGGGAGAGATAGAAACATCAATGATGAGAGAGAATCATTGATCAACTGCCTCCTGCACGCCCCTACTGGGGATCGAGCCCACAACCCGGGCTTGTGCCCTGACCGGAATCGAACTTGGGACCCTTCAGTCTGCAGGCTGACGCTCTATCCACTGAGCCAAACCAGCCAAGGCGATCATGTTATTTTGTAAAGCTCTTATTAAATTCGAGGAATATCTAATTTTCTATATTGTTTTCTGAAAACATGTTATAAAGAGTAGTTTACTTCTGTTTTCCCCACCCTTTTACCTGACAGGTTGCAAATGTTTGGCCCACCAAATATGGATTGTTGTTTGAACGAAGCAGTTCTTCACATGAGATACCTCCAGGTCCACCCAGGTATCCAGTTTACTCAGTTCAGAATATTATTACTAGCGCTTTTTTTGTGTTGGTTCTGAGGTGAAATGGTTTCCCTCTGAATTTGGGATGACGATAATTTTCATGAAAACAGCATAGATTTATGCCACTTTCTCTCATCTCAGTGATGAGCACTCCTGAGTCTTCTCCTTACTTGGGTACTGAGTCACTTACAATTCCTCCCCCAGCCCCCCAAGTTGTAAAATCGAACAAGCGTAAGGTTTAAAGATAACAGTACTCAATTCTTAACTCTCTCATCTTTTTATTGTGCTTCTTTGGGCAAATCATTGGAGCCTTCTTGGCTTTAGTTTTATTATTTGTTATAGAAATACTCTAGTTTACCTCTTGGATTTATGCAGGATTAGGTGAGCTAATGTATACAACCTGTTTTTGTTGTTAATCCTTACATGAGGATTTTTTCCATTGCTTTTCAGAAAAAGTGGAAGGGAGGGAGGGAGGGAGGGAGGGAGGGAGAGAGAGAGAGAGAGAGAGAGAGAGAGAGAGAGAGAGAGAGAGAGAGAAAGAAAGAAAGAAACATCCATGTGTCTCTCGTACATCGACTGGTTGCCTCCCGCACATGCCCCAACTGGGGGTGAGGAGTGAACCTGCAACCAAGGTACATACCCTTGACTCAGAATCAAATCTGAGACCCTTTGGTTTGTAGGCCGATGCTCTATCCATTGAGCAATACTGGCCAGGGCTAAAGTATCTAACCTTTGACACAGGGCTTAGTATGTATTAGAAGTGCGAGAAATGGTAGGTGCTCATTGATGGTGTATTTACCTGTCTCTGAATGAATGAATCAGTTATGAGCTCACTGAAGGGCAGGGACATGCAGTGCCTTATCACAGTGTGGTGCAAGTAGTAGATACTATGTTTTTAGAAAATTGCTTACAGATTTTAATCTTTTTCTGTGTTTAGATAGAAGGTCTGTTCCCCTCTCCTCTTTAAAACACAGCCTCTTTATTTACTTGAAGTTTTTTTTTTCAAGTACACTCCTGTGTAAATCGGTGTAGGAGACAGAATTTCTTTCTTAGCTTCCAAAGACACTGCTGCTAACAGTGGTTACAAAAAAACAGACTGCTTTATGCCCATTTCCCCATTGTTCCTAATGCGATGACTGCTGTTTGCAGATTGTCTCTGGGCTGCATTGATTTTCCTGGGTTGGGTATGCTTAGAGTCTCCTGCATAAGAGGGATTTCTAGGAATGAAATAGGAGAGACTAAAAAACAGTCTGTAGAAAGTTTAGAAAACTTCTTTTTGAGAGGATAGGTTTCTAGTTTTTAGTGCAATTTAGAGAAGATATTTCTTTGCAAGGAAGGTGCACAATTTGTGCACAAATGGAGTCATCTTGTATTGGTGATTGATTATTTGTTTTTTTATTACTAGAGAACCTTTACCCACTATGTTCAGCATGCTGCATCCACTAGATGAAATAACTCCACTTGTTTGTAAATCTGGAAGTAAGTGTATTTTTAGACATTCTTTTACATAGCTCTTTTTTGGAATTTGGGTGTGGGGAGAAAATGAAGGCTCTTATGAAACTTTAACTTGTTTCATAAAAATAATATAATTTAAACATTTTACAAAAATAACCTTTTTATTATGAAAATAATAAAAAGTTCATATTAAAGTAAGAACTTCTTGAATACCATTATATTAACTATTTGAACAGCTATTCTTTTCCTGAAAATAGGGCCTATAAGTTGATCAGGATTACTGATAGATTTGCTAATCTATCTGTAGAAGACTTTGGTCTCTGTTCCTTAGTGATTAATAAGTAAATGAATGATACTTAGATGAGCTAAAATTGATTACTTCTTTGAAGAGAAAAATATAGGTTCTTATGCCCTACTGTGTAAATTTTGTTTTTATATTTTTAAAAAATATATTTTTATTGGTTTCAGAGAGGAAGGGAGAAAGAGAGATAGATATATCAATGATGAGAGAGAATCATTGATCAGCTGCCTTCTGCACACCCCACACTGGGGATCGAGTCCACACCCCGAGCATGTGCCCTAACATGGAATTGAACCGGGTACTCCTGGTTCATAGGTCGATGCTCAACTACTGAGCCACGCTAGCTGGGCTGTACTGTGTAAATTTTAATATTTCATTTTCCCTGCTCATAAAAACCTGATTTGCTGGGGCTCAGACTTTTAATATTTGCTACAGGTATTTCTGTATGAGTATTTTAAAATGTTCAATGTGGCCAAACATGATAATTGGTAATTGTGATTAGCAAGGATAGAAAGCTAAAAAAAAAAAAATTAATACACACACACACACACACACACACACGTACACACGTGTGTGTGTGTGTGTGTGTGTGTGTGTGTATGTATATGTTTTTGTCTTATTTTTATCCCAAGTACATATTCTGAAATATCATGAGGTGTTTGTCTTCTGTATCAGGGCTTGGCACACCATAGCCGGTAAGGCTTAAGAACTAAGAATGGTTTTTACCTTTTCAAAGGGTGTAGAAAAAAATACCCCAAAAAGATTATGTAACAGAGTCAGTCACAAAGCCTAAACTAGTTACTCTTTGGTCTTTTACAGAAGAAAGTTTGATAATTCTGTATTTTATTGGTAACAGTTACAACATAAATGAACATGTTAGCACCTGTGATTGAATTGTGTGTGGCCATTATTGATCATGTTTTTGAATAATAAACTCAGGAGTTACTTATTCATAATGTTAAGTATGATGTAAAATAATACAAATTGATTTTGATTTTGAAAAGACCTGAGAAGTGTGTGTATATGTATAGGGGAAACTAGAAAAAATACTCCCTGATGTATTAATAGTGGCTATTGAGATGGTGGTATTATGAGTGCTTTTTATTTTTTTAAATAAAATGCTTACTTTTATAAAAGAATTGCATTCTTTTATTTTCTAATTTAACTGAAAGGGGGAGCATTTAATATGTTGTTAAATAGGGACAGAGAAGTCAATTCTTGGTACTATCAGAAACTGAACTCTAAGCCTTATTTTGCATGTATAATTAGTAAAGCAGAAACAGGTGTACTCTTCACTGTTTGAATGGTTATTATGAAGGACTAATTTCATACAGAAGAAGAGAATCAATAAGGAAGTCAAACTTGGCAGAATAGTTGATTGAAATCGATAAACAAGTTGCTTATTGGAGGAGTGGACCTTTCACCCATGGCTGATGAATTTAATGGTGGATCAGCACAAATCTTCATCTTTTAATTGTGTGTATGTGAAATTGAAACCGGGAACTCTCTCATCTTTAACGTATTCTGAGGAATTTGATGCTCAAAGTAAATTTATTAAAAATATAGGGTTAATTAATTAATATATTAATGGATTTTGTGCCTTAATTGGTTTGGTTTCTCTTGATCTTTAGGAATTGCAAGGTGTCTTTTTATAAAGAACAGATTTAATGATATAAACAATTCATTTTTTGAGGTAGAAAGTGAACTGATTTTCAGTTTTAAAAGAAGGAATTCTAAGATTCTAAAGTTTATTTCTGTTTGATCTTTCAGGTCTTTTTGGTTCATCACGGGTTCAATACGTTGTAGATCATGCGATGAAAATAGTTTTTCTCAGCACTGACCCCTCCATTGTAATGACCTATGATACTGTTCAGTGTCTGCATTCTGTGTGGGTTCTCCGGAGAGTCAAAGCAGAGGTAAGGATAAAGGGTAGTTAATACTGAAAACCTTCACATGTTTTTGTGAAATAGATTTGAGCTTCTTAGGGAAAAAGAAAGATGGTGTCCTTAAGAATTCATATCCACCCTGAATTTTCACAAGGAAATTACCCTTTTTATCTAATTATAATCTTTTCTCCCTTCTCATCATTCTGACTTAAGGAAGAGAATGCCGTTTTAAAATTCTCTGAACAGGGGGGAACTCCTCAGAACGTGGCCCCCAGTAGCTCCCTCACAGCAAACCTCAGAAGCCTCTCCAAAGGAGATTCCCCCGTGGCCTCGCCTTTCCAGAATTACTCCTCCATCCACAGTCAGAGCCGCTCCACCTCCTCGCCCAGCCTGCACTCACGCTCTCCTTCCATCTCCAACATGGCGGCTCTAAGGTGGGGATCCACTGTGGGTGTACCTTGTTTTACCAAGATAGACCAAGAAAAACATAACTTTTTTGAAACTTTCTCTTAGTTTTGAGGAATTTAAAATTTTGGTTGCCAGCCCTTGGAGAGTTTTGGGGAAGACAGCCATTATTCCAGTTGTGTTATCCGTTTTTAATGAGTCATATTTGGAGGCTGCCTGTGTTTGTCATAGAATTAGTTATCTCATTTGTGCTAAGTGGCAGCAGTTTGATGAATATTGGTTGCAAAAATATTTTGATGCTATTTTGTCTTAATTCGAATTAGTTTTTCTTTTGTTTGGTTGTCTCTCTAGCTATTATCTATTTATTGATACAGTAATGTAGTTTTGTTGGTGTGCAAATGTGAGCATACAGGAACATAGTTTAGACGTTTTGAATGATATAAACAATTCATTTTTTGAGGTAGAAAGTGAACTGATTTTCAGTTTTAAAAGAAGGAATTCTAAGAAGAATAGGAAATCTTTACAATATAATAGAACACATTAACATGACGTAGTTATTCCTTTTTCAAGAAATTGTTTTTCTGACTGGGGTTTTGCCATCACGAATGCTCTTTGTACCCAGAAGTTTGGAAAGTGTTCCTGGAAAGCGTGTGATACCATCTTGCACTGTGGTTGTGATGCCCTCTCTCCTCTGTCTTGCAGTCGTGCTCATTCCCCTGCTTCAGGAGTGCACTCTTTCACGGGGGTGCAAAGGTTCAACCTTTCAAGCCATAATCAATCTCCAAGGAGACACAGTATTTCTCATTCTCCAGATAGTAATTCGAATAGCTCTTTTCTTGCACCAGAAACAGAGCCAATTGTTCCTGAACTTTGTATTGACCATTTATGGACGGAAGCGATTACTAATATAAGGTTTGTAGTATATATTTTTATGTTCAAAGAAAAATGTTGCTAAAAGTCTTAGAAGATACTTGTTATTTTGCCTAAACTTCTTTTAATATGTTCAGTTATTAACTTATAAACATATATAGACACGTATTAAGGCCACCTCTGGGAGAGGATGTTAATGACATTAAAGTGATCATAAAAAATTTTTTGTGTCATTTGTTAGTTCTTTTTTAACTTAGTAATCTCTCAGATTTGAGGTGTTTGATGGTATAGGGAGAAACAACTAATTTCTGTAGATTAGGAAACTTGGGATATTTATAACATTTTTTAATGTTCTTCTCTTTATGTTAGTTGAGTATTGCCTGTTCTTGGGAAACACAGTTCAGATCTGTTCTGTGGGACCTTCCTCCTTTTATGTTCTCATTAATTATCCATTCATTAATCTGCCAATCCCAGTGTGTGTGCTAGTGGCTGCGGGTTAGGCAAATTAATCACTGTCCCTGGCCTCAAAGAGACATGGAAGGATGGTGACACAGGAGACATTTCCTGTTCTGGTAGGGCTTTGGAAAGATGGAGAGAGCACAGTGGTCAGAGGGCCTCAGAATAGATGTTCATAAGGTTGAGAGCATGGTATGTTCAGGCAACTATAGATGCACTTACTCTGCTTATGCCTGGGAAAGAGAAAGGGCTGAGAAAGAGAGGTTGCCCTTTAGGGATCTTCCCTTTGATGAGAGTTGCAAGAAGGTGCTTTATCTGTGGGTTTAAACTCGGGGGAAAGAGCAGAGCAAAAACCGTGGGAGTTATGGGCTTATAAGTGGTGTTTGAGGTGGGAGAGCTGGAATTTAAGGAGTGTGTAGGGGTCAGGTTCCTGGAGGTCCTGTGGGTGAGCTTGGGATTGCAGGGAGTCTGGTAATCCTCTGGAACCATGCATACTAATCATGTGTAGGCCTTTTCCTCAGGAGAGGTTTTCACATTTATTAGCTGAGATAAGAACTTACTTTTATTTATTAGCTTCTCAGAGTGGGTCTGTGACCTCCATGTAGTTAAAACCGAGTGGTGTAGAATTAGAAGACGGCTAGGGACTGAAATCTTGGAAACTTAAACTTTTGTGGGTGGAAAATGAAAGAGGAAGCTGCTGCAGAGAGACAAAGCAAGAGGTCAGGTGGGAGAAGCAGCAGGAAAGAAATGTCATGGAACCCAAGAAAAGAGTCTTTCACAAAGAAAGTGCCACTGTTACCTGGAGCTGGTGAGGTGTGGCATAAGAGGTACCTGGAGGGCAATGATTTCACCAGTGACCTTGGCAAGAACACTTGGGGAACAGGTGGTGGAGTGCAGTGAGTGGAGGAAGTACTAGTAAATGGGGCTGAGGAAATGAACATAGATGAAGAGACTATTTTAAAGAGATTGCCTTTGAATGACGTCGAGGATACATAACTAGCCATACAGAGCCTCTAGGTCAAGGTAGAGTTTTGTTTATGTTGGTTGACCTACTTAAAGAAAATTTATCTTAATGACTAAATACCTCAGTGTGTGTCCCTAAAAAGTAAGGACAATTCCTTATCCAACTGCAATACCATTGTTAACCCAGCCAATTAACAGCAAGTTCTTATCTCATCTAATAGTCTGTCTTTGTGTTTCAAGGCTCTCATGTTAATACTAGAGGCCCGGTGTACGAATTCATGCACAGATGAGGTCCCTCAGGCAGAGGGACCGTGGGAGGTTGGCTGTGGGAGCGCACTGACCACCAGGGGGCAGCTCCTGCACTGAGCGTCCGCCCCTTGGTGGTCAGTGCACATCATAGCAACCAGTCGGCTGGTCGTTCAGTTGTTTGGTCACTTAGGCTTTTATATATATGTAGATGAGAGAGTAGGTTTTAAGGAGCATAACCAAAACAGGGAAAGCATTGAAAATATAGGGGAAGGAAATGACGAGGGACAAAACCAGCAAGGAGCACAGGTGGAGATTAGCCTGAGCAGTAAGAAGGTGGTGTTTATCAGACATAGAGGCAGGGGGTTGAGCTGAAGCCTTACAGACTCTTGTCTGTGAGGCCGAAGGCAGATGCACGCTCTTAGAGCAGGTGTCCTCAAACTACGGCCTGAGGGCCACATGCAAATACAAATAGTGTATTTGTTCCCATTTTGTTTCTTTACTTCAAAATAAGATATGTGCAGTGTGCATAGGAATTTGTTCATAGTTTTTCTTTAACCGTTTGAGTCCTAGGGGGTATTGAAAAAACACTGTCGAAGAATCCCAAACAGCGCAACTGCGCTTTCTCTAAATGAGTACGAAAAGACCCAAACAGCGTGATAGCGCTTGTTTTATTTTATGTGGAGAAATACCAAGCAGCACGATAGCGCTGCTTGGGACTCAAACGGATATTAATTAAAAGGAGCTGTGTGATGTACTTGCGGCAGTAAATCTGAGCGCGCGACTTCGACAATCGGTAACGCACCGTCAGTTGTCCACAATGTTCGAAATGTGCTGGGTTTTCTCGACATAAAATCTCAGCAGCGCAATCGCGCTGCTTGGGACTCAAACGGTTAAACTATAGTCCGGCCCTCCAGTGGTCTGAGGGACAGTGAACTGGCCCCCTGTTTAAAAAGTTTGAGGACCCCTGTCTTAGAGGGTCATTGGAGGAAAGTAGTGATGGGAATACAATGTTGAAGTAGCTTCTCTGATATAAAATAAAATAAAAAATTACTACTTTTAAAAACCTTGGTAAGTTGAATATATTGTAGATCCCTATTTTAAAGATTTCTGATCTTTTGCTCCATTCTAGGAAGAAATCTTTGGCAATTAGAGGCGTGGATTAAAAAAAGTTAGTAAATAGAACCTAATCTGAGAGAGAGAGAGAAGAGATACAGGAAAGGGCTTGTTATGAAATGTCTGATCCCTTAAAGCAGCGGTTCTCAACCTGTGGGTTGCGAACAATGAAAATACATCCTGCATATCAGATACTTATATTACGATTCATAGCAGTAGCAAAATTACAGTTATGAAGTAGCAACGAAAATAATTTTATGGTTGGGGGTCACCACAACATGAGGAACTGTATTAAAGGGTCGCGGCATTAGGAAGGTTGAGAACCATTGCCTTAAAGGGATAGGAATTCAAGTCTGCATTACTTTAGCAGTTGGTGACTTGCATATTATGGAAGTAAAAAATTCATTGATGTTGATTAAATTTATTGTGATTTCCCCCCAAGAAAGCTGTAGACTCGGAATCAAATAGCTGAAAGGAATCTCAGGAATCATGAAATTCAAATCCTGGAAGTGTTTTTGGGTCTTTCAGGTTATTGCTTGACCCATATAGTTTTAGGTTTCTGGCAGAATATTTTCAAAGACTTTTAATGGTTGCTGTGGTAGACTTTTGAGCCAATGCTGACAGTTACTTTATTAATACATCTATTTCAGGGAGAAAAATTCACAGGCCTCAAAAGTGTTTATTACATCTGACTTATGTGGGCAAAAATTCTTGTGCTTTTTAGTAGAGTCCCAGCTCCAGTTACGGTAAGTGCATATTCCCATTGATACTCTGTGTAAATAAATCTAGGGCTGCCCGCCCTCCCTCCCTCCCTCCCTTCCTTTTACCCTTTCCTTGGAGTAGCTTTATTGCAGTAATTTATATAACATAAAGTTGACATGTTTAAGTGTACAATTAAACAATTTTTAGAAAATTTACGGAGTTGTACAACCATCACCACAATCCAGTTTTTAAAATTTCTCTAATTTTAAGATCCCTTGTGCATGATTTGTAGTCAGTCTCATTCCCATTCTCAGCCTGTGGCTTCCGCTCTGTAGGCTTTCATCTCTGGATTTGCCTTTCCTGGACATTTTATAGAATTGTGCAGAATGTAGCTTTTGTGGCTAGCTTCTTTCACTAGCATAATGTTTGCTAGGACCCACCATGTTGTAATGTGTGTGAGTGTGTAGTCCTCCATTGTGCAGATACATCAGGTGTGGTTTATCCCTCAGCAGTTGATGGACATTTGGTTCGTTTCTACTTTTGGACCCTGTGAGTTAGGGGGCTATGAACATTGGAGCTAAAGTCTTAGTGTAGACATACATGATTTATTTTTTCTTGGGTAGATAGATAGGAGTGGATGGTTTGGTCCAATGATAAATTCATTTTTAATTTTTAAGGAATTGCCAGATTGTTTCCAAGTAGGCTGAACTGTTTTCCATTCCATCCAGCCACATCTGAGGCTTTCAATTTCTCCTTGACAAGATCAGGTATTGTCATTCTCTCTGATTGTAGTGAGTGTGAAGGGTTTTAATTTGCATTTCCCTAATGATTTATGATGTTGAACATCATCTTGTGTGTTTATTAGCCATTTATCTTTTTAGGTGAAATGTATATTCCTGTCTTTTGCACATTTATTTATAATTTTATTTTGAAATAATTATAAATCACAGGAAGTTGCAAAATAGTAGAGGAGTCCTGTGTACCTTGTACTCTTTTTGCTTCAGAGTTAACATCTTACATAACTTTAGTGCATGATCAAAACTAAGAAGTTGATAGTATAATCTACAGACTTTATTCAGGTTTCATCAGTTTATATGGATGTGTGTGTGTGTGTGTGTGTGTGTACATGTACGTATGTGTGATTCCAGGAAGTTCTCTCAGTGTGTAGATTTGTGCAGGTGTCACAATCAAGGTATAGAACTTATTTATTACCTCAAAGGTCTCCATTGTGCTTCTCCTTTATAGTAACACTAGAGGCACGGTGCACAAAAATCGTGTACTGGGAGTGGGGAGGGGGAGAGTCCCTCAGCCCTGCGCCATCTCACAGTCCAGGACCCCTCAGGGGATGTCCGCCTGCTGGCTTAGGCCCGATCCTCAGGGGGAGCTGGCAGTCAGACATCCTTCTCACAGTCCGGGGCTCTTCCAGTCTGGGACCCCTTGCTCCTTATCACTCTCCTGCAATGGAGGTGGGAGAGGCTCCCGCTACCACCACTGTGCTCGCCAGCTGTGAGCCCAGCTTCTGGCTGAGCAGTGCTCACCCTGTGGGAGTGCACTGAACACCAGGGAAAAGCTCTTGTGTGATTGCCCTCTGGTGGTCACTGCATGTCATAGCAACTAGTTGTTCCACTGTTTGGTCGATTTGCATATTAGGGTTTTATTATATAGGATATACCACCCCCACCCCCATCACTAACCCCTCACAACCACTAATCTGTTCTCCATCTCTATAATTTTGTCATTTCAAGATATATAAAAGGAATGCTACAATATGAAACCTTTGGAGCTGGGCTTTTTGCATAGTATCCTTGAGATCAGTACAGGTTATTACATGTGTCAATACTTTGTGTTTTTTTTTTAATTTACTCTTTAGCTGTGTAAAGTTTCAAGAGAGTAATGATAAGACCCAGCTCATCTTTGGCTCCATCACCAACATACAGGCAAAGGATGCTGCGCCAGTGGAGGTAAATGCAGGCACTTTCTTGAGAAGTTGAAAATCATTATGCTTTGTAATTTGCACAGACTTTAAAATAAAATGTGTGTCCTCTTTTAGAAGATAGACACCATGCTGGTTCTGGAAAGCAGTGGAAACCTGGTGCTGTACACAGGAGTGGTCCGGGTGAGTCAGAAGCAGCTTTTGGTGCTTTTGTAGGGCTGCCTCCTTAGTTATGATTTTGTATTGTTGCTTTAGTTTGATATTTAAATATTTACTCCCATTTGTAGGATTTGACAGAAGGTTTATTTTGTAAGAGCTGAAAATGAAGTTCCCAATTTAGGTTGGTCCTAAGTGGGAGGTTGCCTCACTGCCATTAGATAGGTTGGCACTGGGAACCCAGAATAGATGGGAACCTTCAGTGAGGATAGAGATACTTTAAAAAAGAGTTAAGCTGATGTTTTATAAATTGAAGTGTTGAAATTGATGCATGGGTAGCTTTGATAATTCTCAAAGTTTTTGTAAAGTTCTATTATATTAAATGTATACTGTGTTGGGTGGATCTTTTATCAGTTGTGAAATTTATATATGAATAATGTAAATGTTGTAAATTTAAATTATGAAATTTAGTACATACACACAGTTTGAAGAATGACAACATTTGTGTAAGCTATACTCAGGTTAAGAAATAGGGTGCTGCCAGTATCACTTGTCTCCTGGGAGTTCTTTCCTGACTGTCCTCACCTCCCCACCTCCCCCAGATAGACACTATCCTGACTTTTAACATAAATCAGTCCCTTGTTTTTATTACTTGTTTTGCACTTATGTATGTATCACTAAAGATTGAATTGTTTGGTTTTCCTCATTTTAAATTTTTATGTAAAGGACACCATGCCATATACTTTTCTCTGACTTGATTATTTTGCTCAACATTGTTCTATTTTTAGATTTATCTATCTTGATGTGTAGTTGTTTCCCCATTCACTGTTACATGATATTCCATTGAATGATGATACAAACCTTCACTATTTTACCTATCACTAAGGTTGGTTGTTGTTTCTGCTGTAGTTCTAGTAAACAGTAATTAAAAAAAAAAATCCTTATATATGTCCTCTAGCCTCTATGGCAGGGGTGGGGAACCTTTTTTCTGCTAGGGGCCATTTAGATATTTATAATATCATTCGAGGGCCATACAAAATTAGCAACTTAAAAATTAGTCTGCTGTACTTGGTCAAACATTTAATTAACTCACCCCTAATGCCTTGGCGGGGCCAGACCAAATGATTTTGTGGGCCTTATACATCCCTTAGGCCGGATGTTCCCCACCCTTGCTGTAGGGCATATGCACATTCACTTTGGCTATGTGGTGCCAGATAGTTTTCCAAATATATATGCACCTTTGATATTTCAAATTTTATGCTCAAACACTAAAAATCAAAGAAAATTAAAATTTTAGTAATGTATCAAATTCTACCATCCAACTACACATATCTTGGTATAATTTCTCTTGGTCTGACTCCTCTTTATTACTGAGAAAAGAATTATTTTTTGTAGGAAAGTGTGGAAAATACTCAAAACTAAAGAGAAATTTTAACAATATACATGTGTATTGTCAATATACCTCCCAAAAGCTAATAAAATTACAAAAGTTGCCGAAATAAAATCCATAGGATTAAAAAACAAAATGACAATGAAAACTAATGCATACAGGGTGGGGGCAAAAGTATGTTTACGGTTGTGAGTATGCAAAATGAAGTTTATTTTTGTATTGCTATTTATTAATTTATGTATTATTTTCCATATGAACAACTACAAACCTACTTTTGTCCCACCATGTATACATATAATGCTTTTAACAAACTATCAGAGACCTCCAGCTAATGAAGAGGAGTCAGACCAAGAAAAATTATACCAAGATATGTGTAGTTGGATGGTAGAATTTGATACATTACTAAAATTTTAATTTTCTTTGATTTTTAGTGTTTGAGCATAAAATTTGAAATACCAAAAGTACATATGTATTTTTACATCCTTTTATTGCTTTAAGGTGGGCAAGGTTTTTATTCCTGGACTTCCTGCTCCTTCCCTGACAATGTCCAATGCGATGCCTCGGCCCAGCACTCCACTTGACAGCGTCAGCACTCCTACACCTCTGAGTAAACTGCTTGGAACCTTGGATGAGGTGAGAAAGGAATTAGGTGTTGTCCAAAATGAGTAATGTTTTAAAGAAGTTTGGTCAGATGTTCTTTCCACGATTACCTTTCCTCCCACCCCCGTTTTAAAAATGACAGAATTGGCAGTTTAGCTAATACTTGTAGAATATGAATATTTCCAAGTACCAGTGTCTCAGTCAATATGCACTGACCTTCTGTGTATGTGGAAGGTACAATGAAAGGAGCCACAGAAATGAGAATGAGGCATTCTTTTCCATCCAGGGATCTCACCAGTTACTTGCGTGAAACATGTAGTGTCTGCATAATAAATTATATTTAAAGTAGACTATTAACACTTATGATGACTAATAAAATGTCCTGAGGAGATGTACCGATAAGATACATTCTGAGGGTCAGTGTGGCAGAACCATCTCTCATCTTGGAGAGGCCTGTCTGACTAGGGCTGGCCTGTGAGGATAAGTGGAATGTCTGCAGGTGGGAAGGAGCATTTGGGGAGAGAGGGCTCACAGGGCCACAGGCAAGGAGGCAGGAGAGTGCAGATCACGTGTGTTCGCATCTCCATCTCCTAGTGCACAGGTTAAGACTCAACACGTCTGAGGGCAGAATGAACGAGTGTTTATGCAAGTCCAAGGAGTCTCTTGGGATTGTCATGGTAACCTGTTTTTGAGAGTTTTCTGTGTACTAGGCACTGTTCTCTGTGTTTTGTATGCATTAACTTATTTAATTTATTAGACCAGCTTTATTGGAAAGTTACTGATTGCTGTTTTACAAATGGGTACACAGAGATACAAGGAGGTTACTGTTTCGAGGACTGTAGCTAATAATGGTGGTGCTGGGATTTGTATTCTATTGATAAGCCCTTAATACAAGAAAGGATGAAAAGATGGTATTTATTCTGAATGCAGTCACCAGGGCATTACAGTTTTTGAGGATGGAGTTATGAGTGCTGGGATCGTGCTTTAGGTAATTTTATCTTGGGATTGAAGATAGAGAGACCAGTTAGATTCCCAGTGCGTTGTTTGTGTTAGTTTAAGAGGTGCAAAGGGAGACTGACCTAGGGCAGTACATTGGAAAGAAGGGGAGTGACACGAGAGGTCTAGAGAGGTGGGAAGACAGCGTTTATCGGTTGGATTTGTGCTGTGTTGGGGCAGGTGCTGGGAAAGGAGACTCGGTTCTCTGAGCAACCTGGGTGGATCCCCAGATGTACCAAGTTAGGAAGCCTGAGAAAAGCAGGGGGTGTTTCAGAGACACCTGAGTGCACATGTTTAGGGGCAGTTCAAAGTGCAGGTTGGTGCTGCACTTGTGTTGCATAGTGTCTAGGCCCGGAGTGTTATTTTTGTTTTTATGTTCTTCAGTGAACAAAAGTTTTAAACTTTAATGAAGTCCTATTTATATTTTTCTCTCGTTGCTCACTAAATATTATTTTTTTAAACACATGCAGTGTTGAGCTGTTTCCTGTTAAGCCTGACCCTTGCAGAAATCTTGGGAGGGGGCTATAGAACTATCAGATTTCTGTGTGATTTGCAAGAATTTCTTTTTTTTTTTATATATATATTTTATTGATTTTCCACAGAGAGAAAGGGAGAGAGAGAGATAGAGAGTTAGAAACATCGATGAGAGAGAAACATCGACCACCTGCCTCCTGCACATCCCCTACTGGGGACTTGCCTGCAACCCAGGTACATGCCCTTGACCGGAATCGAACCTGGGACCCTTCAGTCCGCAGGCCGACGCTCTATCCACTGAGCCAAACCGGTTTCGGCTGCAAGAATTTCTTTTATAACATAAGATGATTCCTCGCTTTCTTGGAATTTCATAAACCTAGGAATGGTTAGTGGCTTAATGGCAGCTGTCAGATCACAGCTCAGTCTAACATATTGGCTGATGACTTTCCCATTTCTAGGACCAATGAAGCTCAGTTTTAGGGCAGCTATTGGGGTAGAAGCTGGAAATAATATATACATCTTATTCTGGGTTGGCTCTTATTATTGACAAGATAGTCACTTAGAAATTTCCTGTAAATTGTATAGGAATACAAAAAGGTTGGTGGTCAGGAGTAGATTTAAAATAGGAAGCATCTGCATGTAATCAGTAACTACGATCATTTAAAATTCTTGTTTGCATATCTACAGTTGAGAAAAAATGTTGCTCTTTATCAGACGTTTGCTTTTTCTGAAGCATCACTAAGCTGTCTCAGTTCTTTGCTCTCTCATTGCTTTTCCTTCTCTCCCGTGTCTTGGAGCCTCCAATCCTATCTGTCATGCCTTCCTCACCTTACAGTTACATCTGTAGCCTTGTTGGGTTGCCAAGAGTGTTGCTGCCTTCTCTTCCTGTGGCCCTGTTTGCACATCAGTCTAGCTAGCCCTGTCCCCCATGATCCTACCTAGAGCAGAATGATTGTAAATTATTATGTACAGTTGTTAGACTATATGCAAAAAGAAATAACCTTCACTTCTCAAAAAATACTTGATATGTGTTGTACTTATGACTTTTTATAGGTTGTTCTATTGTCCCCAGTTCCAGAACTAAGGGATTCTTCAAAACTCCACGATTCTCTCTATAATGAGGACTGCACTTTCCAACAGCTTGGAACTTACATTCATTCTATAAGAGACCCTGTTCGAAACAGAGTGACTCTAGTAAGTATATGTAGATTAGGTGGCTCTCCGTGAGATATGGCGGTCACTTCAAATTTGTCAGAATGTAGAATTTGTCTGAAAATCGGAAGCAAACATTTCTGATGACATTTAAAATATTTTGTGATGTGTTCTTTCTTTGCATTATTTTACTGTGAAGTAAATCTGTTCAACTTTTTAAAGGTTTTTATATTATTAAAAATGTATCGAAAACAGCTTGTTCAATAAGTTGAATTTTGTATTGACATCATTTTTTTCTTTTCCTTACAGGTAAGTCTCTTTTTTTAGTGAAAATGAGACACTTATTAGAAACAAAATTTTTGTAAATGTTTTACAATTACGCACATTTATAGTTTCTGAACTTTGGAAGTATTCGCTTCTGTTTTAAAAATGTTCATTTTTATGTTTATTTTTATATTTATTTACTTAGTTTGTAGAGGATGTTTTTCCATTGATTCTTTTTTTTAGAGAGTGTATAAGGGAAGGGGAGAGACACATCGATTAGTTGCCTCCTGCGTACATCTATCTCCACTGGGGCCAGGAATTGAGCCTGCAGCCCAGGTACTTGCCCTTGACCAGAATCTAATCCAAGACTCTTCAGTCTGCAGACCAACGCTCTATCTACTGAGCCAAACAAGCTAGGGCAAATATTGTTTATTTTCTTTTATTTTATTGAATTTTGCTTTGGCAGGCAAAATCTTGTAAAGCATCAGCTATTGTTAAGAATTCAGAGACTTAGACCACAGATTCTGTTGACTAATTCTGGTTTGTTCCCTTCTTTTTCTAGGAGCTGAGTAATGGCTCTATGGTGAGGATCACGCTCCCTGAAATCGCCACGTCTGAATTAGGTGCGATTGAGGAGCAAGCCTGAATTCTGTGTATTCTTAGTTTGATTTGGAGTCATTGTTGATTTGTGTTAGTAATTGGGGATATTAAATTTTTTGCTGTTATTGAAGCCACAGGATGGCGTTTTTTACTTTGTGGATAACTGTGAAGAACCAGGAGCACCCCTAGGACGTCCCCTTCATGGGTACTGTGAGGCTGGGCGTGACTTGAAGGAGATGCTGGTTCTGTTTCTCGGCCTTTTTTTATGTGGAAGATACCACACAGTGAGATTACACATACAACATGCTTCTTGCAAGAAAATCTTGCAATAAGGAAGGCTAAGCAACTAAAATAGTTTTTGGCATACTTGATGGTTTTAATCCTAAATCTCTCAATTGAGACATGAACGTAATTGCCTCAATTGATTAAAAACATTATAGTAAAAATGCAGTTAGAAGTGTTTTTCATACAATTGGAGTCTGCTTGAATTATTTTTGAAATGCAGTTTGGAAAGTACTAGGTGGAGAGTATTTCTGAACATAGAATAGTATAACTAGAATTGAAAGAATTTGCCAAGAAGCAAAAGTTAAAAGAATGCCTATGTGACAAAAGAAAATGTGTGACATGTATTAGTTTCAAAATGTAAATGCCAAAGCAAAGCGCTGGCAGGTGGTCTGGTTTCTGGAATTTGATAAGTAGGCCAGAATGACTTTTTTATTGTAGGAAATACCTTTCATTGGTGTGATAAGTGATATTCTGAGTTGGTACAGAGATAACCTTGCTTTTCTCAAAGATATGTAGCCCGTAATCACAAGGTTATGTACCTAGAAGTACAAGCCTAAACAAAATATACATAAGTTAATAGCAGATTAAGTTAAATAAAACCAAAATGAAATCCTGCTCTCTCACAGCCAAATAGAAATTTTTGTACTTTATAAAGTGCTTCTTAGCTCGTTTACACTTACCTGGTTTACACTTATTTTGGATTCAGCCGTGACAGATTTGGTTGTTTTTCTAACATTTATTCCATTTGATTTCAACCTTTGTGTGCGCATGCACATAGCAAATTCATGAGAAAAAGGATATGCAGCTGAGGATGGGCCCAGTGACAGTGACAGTGTGAAGGGAAGAATCCTCTGAAGAGAACATAGAATACAAGCACTTTGCTACTAAAAGCAGACCCAGGCCCTTCACAGCAGCAGCCCACGCCAGCTAGAGGTGTCACTGAATGACAGTGGAGCACTGAAACTGACATTCATACAAATGACACTGGGTCATTAAGAGAAACATGGTATTGAAGGGTCTAAGACAGAGAGCCTGGACAACATTTTAGACTCTGAGTGCTGTCAGATTATTCAGTGTTGTAAAGCTTTGGTTAATAGGAGTGTTCACTAATGGAGAAATCTCTTGTGCTAGTAGAAGAGGCTGTTGACTGTTATATGCGTCTGAAATATTAAAGCAATTATTTCATATGAATTTATTTGTGTAGAAATTGTGTTTTGATACAGTGACCTTTAATTCATTGTCCATACTAGGAATGTTTGAGGCTGAAATGGGGAGCGATTAATACTTGCTGGGGCAGTAGATGTCAATCCCTCTGTCTCAGGTTATGTGGGCTATTTGGTTACCTATTTCTGATAGAAAATTAATGACTGAAAAGCTACCCAGAGACCTCTTGCAGATCCTGTGAACTTTAGTAGTGGGTTTAGGTTTCCAGTGATGGGTTAGGTAATGTGGCATTTTATTGGCTCTTTCATGACAGTTCTCTCTTTACAGTAATTGGCCTTTATATAGTCATCATAGTTTAAAAACTTTCATATTAAAAGGGGAAGAGAAATGCATGCATAGGAACCATACTGAACGTAATCTTTGCCTTTAACAGTACAAACATGTTTGCAAGCAATTAAGTTTATCCTGCCAAAAGAAATAGCGGTTCAGATGCTTGTCAAGTGGTACAGTGTCCACAGTGCTCCAGGCGGACCCAGCTATCACTCAGAGTGGAATCTATTTGTGATTTGTCTCATGAACATGATGGGTTATAACACAGACCGCTTAGCATGGACACGAAATGTAAGTACATCCAGTTGTTTTTCTTCCTGAGTTATTCTGTTGTTATCAATGTAATGTTTACATAAATAGTAATACAACCTTCAGACTATATAGCAGAGCAGTTTAATAGGTGTACCTTATTCAACAAAATGGAATAATACTGAGGGTTATTGTATCTGTATTCTAAATCAAATATCATTTCATATTTAATAACATTTTACTAGTAATTATTATTATTACATTTTTATAATGTGGCAAAGCATGTTAGAGTATTATTTCTCATTTCATCGTTGTAAAATAACTGCAGTTTATGCTAGGATTAGTAGTAATAGTCTCTTTTACTGGAGAAGGAACTGAATCACAAAGCAATCACATACTGGAGATTTGCTCAAACCTGGGCCTAGAGCAGGGGTGGGCAAACTTTTTGACTCGAGGGCCACAATGGGTTCTTAAACTGGACCGGAGGGCCAGAACAAAAGCATGGATGGAGTGTTTGTGTGAACTAATATAAATTCAAAGTAAACATCATTACATAAAAGGGTATGGTCTTTTTGAAATGAATCCAGATCCAGCCCGTTTAAAATGCATAAAACTAAAAAAAAAAAAAGACGGTAATACAACCTTCAGACTATATAGCAAAAAGACTATATAGTCAAAAAGTTTGCCCACCCCTGGTCTAGAGACTCTAGACTATGTCTGCTGACTCGTGTCTCTGTATTCCTTTCCGAAGCCCAGACTATTTTCACACACCAAGTTCTTGATTTGTGAGAAGGGAGACTTGATTTGAGGGGGATTGAAAGTGCTTTAGCCTCAGTGTCTACTCTGTTAATGAGAGCAAGCTGTGTCCCTCATCTCCTGCCCCTGAGACTTCCTTAGAAGGTCCTACAGAGTTATTTATACAGTCAGCAAGGGCATGCCTTCATCTTGATTTGCTCTTGGCTCTGGAGATGACTCCCAGGGCAACCTTGCCTGGGTCACTCTGCAGAAATCACTCCTTGTCCAGGTAACTCAGCTGTCCCTGTCTGTACATTTTAGTTTTGTGTTGGCAAATCTATTTTATTTTATTTTTTATTTTTATTTATTTTTTAATTTTTTTAAATCTTTATTGTTTAGATTACATTTGTTCCTCTTCCCCCCCCCCATAACTCCCCTCCTCCCAGTTCCCGCCCCACCCTCCTCCCTCACTCCCCACCCACTGTCCTCATCCATAGGTGCACGATTTTTGTCCAGTCTCTTCCCGCATCTCCCATTCCCCTTTCCCCCCCAAGAATAGTCTGTCCATTCCCTTTCTATGTCCCTGATTCATTATAATCACCAGTTCATTCTGTACATCAGATTATTTATTCACTTGATTCTTAGATTCACTTGTTGATAAATACATGTTTGTTGTTCACTATTTGTATCTTCACCTTTTTCTTCTTCCTCTTCTTAAAGGATACCTTTCAGCATTTCGTATAATACTGGTTTAGTGGTGATGAACTCCTTTAGCTTTTCCTTATCTGTGAAGCTCTTTATCTGACCTTCAATTCTGAATGATAGCTTTGCTGGATAAAGTAATCTTGGTTGTAGGTTCTTGCTATTCATCACTTTGAATATTTCTTGCCACTCCCTTCTGGCCTGCAAAGTTTCTGTTGAGAAATCAGCTGACAGTCGTATGGGTATTCCCTTGTAGGTAACTGAGTTTCTTTCTCTTGCTGCTTTTAAGATTCTCTCTTTGTCTTTTGCTCTTGGCATTTTAATGATGATGTGTCTTGGTGTGGTCCTCTTTGGATTCCTTTTGTTTGGGGTTCTCTGGGCTTCCTGGACTTGGAAGTCTATTTCTTTCACCAGGTGGGGGAAGTTTTCTGTCATTATTTCTTCAAATAGGTTTTCAATATCTTGCTCTCTCTCATCTTTGGTACCCCTATAATTCTGATGTTGATACATTTGAAGCTGTCCCAGAGGCTCCTTACACTATCTTTGTATTTTTGGGTTCTTTTTTCATTTTGCTTTTCTGGTTGGGTGTTTCTCGCTTCTTCGCATTTCAAATCTTTGACTTGATTCTTGCCCTCCTCTGGTCTGCTGTTGGGAGTCTGTATAATATTCTTTATTTCAGTCAGTGTATGCTTACTTTTTAGATGGTCCTTTATCACACCATCGAGGGTCTCATTAGATTTCCTGTACCTCTCATCAAGTTTATTGACAGACTCTAGAAGCCTCTTGAGAGACCTCAAAAGTGTGGTTCTGAACTCAATATCCTCCCTTGATAGTTTTGTCCTGTTTCTTTGTCTCCGCATTTTTTACGCTTTCTTGGTACACCCCCTAGTGGTCTTTGTGTGCAGTCTTGTTGTAGTTAAGCCTTGATTGTTGTAGTTAACACTTGGAGTGCGGGTGAATTTCCCGCCAAAATATAAGATGGCTCTGTCTTTTGGTTTTGTTCCATCCACCAAAAGGGTGGATTACAAACAAATATTTGGTAATACGCAGTTACAATCGGCCCGAGTTTACACGTTTCCCGCACTCCACCGCAAATCTATATGAACCGAGTTAAAGACGGCTCCCGCGGAGTACGCGCAATTCACGCGAGCCGACTTAACTCGTTTCCCACACTCCAAGTGTTAATACTAGAGGGATTTGACCACCAGGCTGACTGGCTGTGAGAATCAGCTGTGTGGAAAACTTCTGTCCTCTGGGGAGGTGCTAATCTACCCTTCGCCTGAGGCGATCCAGCAAATGGCTCTGCGCAGGGCTTGGGCGGGGCGGGATCAACAGGGCGGGTGGAGGGAGCAGTATGGCTGCTCTCAGTCCCGTTCCCAGAGGCTCTGCTTCTCAGAACCCTGGCCACCGCTGCAAACCTCGGAGAGAAAGCTGCCCTCAGATTCCAACTGATGCCGGACAATCCCGCTTCTCCCGTCTGAGTCTGAGTCCCTAGAGACTCGCCCGGATCTGGAGCCCAGAGTCTGAGACTCCCTCCTGATTGAAAACGACAACCGCGCCCTCAGCCACCAGCCCGCTTTGCTCACGCACCTCGGTACCTTTATATTTTCCACACTGAGCCTCTTCTGAGCTTCGGTATGCTGTTCTCTTTCCTTCTAGTTGAAGAGTCTCTCCTCAGCCAGCCTTCCTGTGGTTCTGGGTGATGTCCGTTCCGTCTTTTAGTTGTATTTTTGAAGTGGTTGTTTGCGGCAGCAGTCTCCGGTGTTTACCTATGCCGCCATCTTGGTTATCGGCTTGGCAAATCTATTTTAAAGATCGTTTGTTTTTCTTTATTATGAAAGAATATATGTTTACTGAGGAAAACTTTCAAAATGAGGAATTCAGAAGAAGAATAACACTATACAGAGATGGCCACTGTAAATTTTTTTTGTTATTGCCTTTTAGATAAATATAATATCAATGATCTTTTAAAACATCCTTCAAATATGACCCATAATTTCATCATCCTCATAAAAGGCTACCATGTGGTTTTATCACACCTAACCAATAGCTATTAATTGAACATTGTTGAATCTGTTTTTTTCTTTTATTTATTAAATTGGGGTAACATTGGTCAACATGAACATATAGGTTTCAGGTGTGGCTTTCTATATTATAAGATCTGCTTATTGTGCCATGTGCCCATCACCCAAGTCAAATCTGTCCCCATATCTTTGGACCCCCTTCTCTTCTCACCCCCTTCCGTTTGGCAGTCACCACACTGCTATTTATGTTCACGAGTTTCAGTTTTATATACCACATATGAGTGAAATCATATAGTTTTTAGCTTTTTCTGACTGACTTATTTCACTTAGCATAATGTTATCAAGGTCCATTCTTGTTGTTGCAAATGACACTATTTCATCCTTTCTTATAGCTGAGTAGTATTTCATTGTGTATATGTACCACATCTTCTTTATCTAGTCTTCTATCACAGGACACTTTGGTTGTTTCCAGGTCTTGACCACCATGAATAATGCTGCAATGAACATAGGGGTGCACACACATGATTTCGAGTTTTTCGGGTATATACCCAGGAGAGAGATTACTGGTCATATGGTAGCTCTATTCTTAATTTTTTGAGGAATTGCCAGACTGCTTTCCATAGTGTTTGTACAGTCTACATTCCCACCAGCAGTGAATGAGGGTTCCCTTTTTCCACAATCTCTCCAACACTTGTTATTGCTTGTCTTGTTGATAATGGCCACTCTATAACGGGCGTGAGGTGGTATCTCATTGTATTTTTTAAAAATACATTTTCATTGATTTTAGGGAGGAAGGGAGAGAGAGAGAGAGAGAAAGAAAGAGAGAGAGAGATGGAAACATCAGTAATGAGAGAGAATCATTGATTAGCTGCCTCCTGCATGCCTTACACTGGGGATCGAGCCCACAACCTGGGCATATGCCCTGACCAGGAATCGAATCATGTACTCCTGGTTCATACGTCAACGTTCAACCATTGAGCTACATCGACTGGGCTCATTGTAGTTTTGATTTGCATTTCCTTAATTGCCAGTGAGGTTGAACATCTTTTCATACATCTATTGGCAGTTCCTATGTCTTCTTGGGAGAGGTGTATTTTCAGGTTGTCTGCCCAACTTTTGATTGGGTTGTTTGGTGTTGAGTTTTATGAGTTCTTTATATATTTTGGAAATTAAAGCTTTGTTGGAGCTACTGTTTGCAAATATCATCTCCCATGTGGTTGGCTCCCTCTTTCTTTTGTTGTCAATTTCTTTGGCTGTGCAGAAGTTTTTCATTTGATACAGTCCCATACATTTATTTTTGCCTTTACTTCCCTTGCCTTTGGGGTCAAGTTCATAAAATGTTCTTTATGACCAAGGTCTATAAGTTTGGTATCTATATTTTCTTCTATATAACTTATTGTTTCGGGTCTTATATTTAGTTCTTTGATCCATTTTGAATTAATTTTTGTACATGGGGACAAGCTATAATCCAGTTTCATTGGTTTGCATGTGGCATTCCAGTTTTCTCAGCATCATTTGTTGAAGAGACTATCTTTACTTCATTATGTGTTTCTGGCTCCTTTGTCAAAAATTATCTATTCA